CACTTTCACTAAGGCACCTTGTGGGACTGGAGCTGTGGGCAAACCATTTTGATATGAATGTTGATGGAGTCTTTGTTGAAGCACACAGGCCACGATCCACGTATGAGCGTACAAACAACCACCTGATAACAAATACCTAATTGCTCTGGGTGTGGGCAAGACTTCCATATGCTTGGCTGGTTTCAGTGCACCTCGGTGTGATGACGTTGATGTTTGGTCGGTTAAGAAGCGTCTTCGGATGCTGACCTCGAAACACCGATCTCGTGCTGACCCTTGTTTACGCCTACTATATTTCCCAGATAGCGGTTCACCCTCTTAGAATTTTTTCACCTTTAGAATAAAAAAAATGTTTGTGACCCTTCTAAAACCTTTTCAAATTTACTAGACAAACAACTTCCACCATCCTCAACGCTATCAACACCAGGAACTTGGTATTGAGTACCGCAGAGCTTTTGGGTAGTTATGGGTAAAATCACACTTCTTTTCCAAGTCTTTGCAAGCTACGACAAAACATTGCAGCAGGTTGGAGCGTCAACCTAAGGAGTCTCTTTTTACACACGTGACACTCACACATGCGAAAGTAATCAAAGAATTGACGTTTAACCCCATAGACTTATTTAACGGCTATTAAAGTGTTGTTTTAATTTTTTGTAAAAGCTACTATGCCTTCCAGCTATATCGTCAGACTCCTCCTGCGAATTGGAGCAAACAAGAAAGCTTGCTAAAACGTAAGGTTTTTAAACCCAAACTATTTGTTGCCACTTAACAGTGAATAAAATTAATCATGTTATGCTACCAATTTTAAGTTTTGTTTTGAAAGTTCTGCCAAGAAACGTCTCATTTTCACTGCTCGCGCATTTTATCTTTCATTTCATAGTTATCAAAATTTTTGTGGACAAACTTCAACCATCGAATGAAGGGCCGAATCAGGGAGAGAGAACAGGTAGTCAATTGCTAAGACAGCGGCTCTCGCTTGTACTGGGCGGTGCTTTAAACAAAAAAGCAATTGCGGAGGAGGCCTCCCCTATGAACGACCGTAATAAATTTCAAGATAAGGTGGGTTTAAAGTTCACTTAGTGCACTATTAAAAGTGTAAATTTTGCAAATCCGGCATTGACCTAAAAATGGTGGATACATCCAAACTATCGGTTTCTAGTGCCAGTAACCTTTCTGATTGGTTGGTTGCTCAAAGGTGCCACCTGCTTTCTGATTGGTGGCTTAACTGAATTCACGTTACTATTTGATATTGATGCTTAAGTAAGACTTGAATCTTTTCGTTGAGATCTGGTTTTTTGTCTCCACCTTACGCCTAGCGCCTATTCCTACTACGTATTAAGACAAATAGCTTAAATACGTACTTTTAGGTAACTATTTCTTCAGAAAAATGGAAGCTTCTTTTCAAATGAAATAAATCGCGACCTCGATTTTGCGGTACTAAACCATCAAAATTATTAATAGACAAACAACTTTATGTACCCTCTCACGTAAACGTTGAAATCGTTGTCTTTTCGTACGTCAAAACTTAGCTCAATGGGCAAGTTATTTTTATATCGTTGACGTTTGCAATGGTACAATGGGTCAGATTGATGACTCATTGGCTGAGTCATCCTTTGATATTGGACCGAGACATTCGTTTGTATTGATAACTTCTCCTCCCACCCACAGAGCATAGATATTGCTGTGGCATCACTTGGCTGGGCCACCGGTAATAAAAGGGCTGATTTGGACTTCGGTAGCGTTTGTATTGTATGCAATTGAGTTTTTTACTTCAGAACTCTGAAGATGAGAACATAAAGAGGATCTTGTTGCCGAAAATTCGGCATTTGACTCTGGGACTGCTCTCCAACCATCGGCTTCCCATCCGTCAGTTGGCGGTGTCAATCTACACAACTTGTGTCTCCTTCATGCATCCAGAGGTAGGAGTGAAGGGTTTCGTGTTTTTATTCCTTCACTGATCATGGGTTGTCGGAACTCATTGTTTCACAATTTTGTCTTACCAAGTCTTCTCTCTCCAACCTTTAGTCTGAGAGGCGTAGGCACTCATACTTGCAGATGCGTCCGAATGTTAGGGTGAATTTCCGTGGATTTTGATAAATGATCGAAAAATATCGGCAAAGCACTTAAAATGCTGAAAGAGAATGTGTCGATAATACTTCTTTATAAAGTTATTTATTTAGCATCAAGTTTGGGGTCTTGAGCTAGGAGGAGAAGCCAATCGCGATCAACAAGAATTTGGTAGAGTCATTAAATTATTCTCCCAAACACTTTAATGAATAATCTTTTCCGCCTGCAATTTATCATTCAGAAGATCGGCGTTTAAATTAGTCGTTAAAATGTCTCATCTAATTTGTACAACGTCACTAAAATCGTATATCACGGAACTGACATTATGAGACAAACTAAAGAACAAGAAGTGAAGGTAGGCGCTCATGAAATTTGTTGGCGAATTTTTGCGTAGTGGAAAGATGACAAACTTTTCCTGCTCTCTAGAATCAGGCAAAAATCCTTGGGAACGCCATTGATACACTGGACCTCGACATCTCGACTAGAATGGATGAAATCGCCAATGTACGTTGACCGTTAAGAAGAGCAAATATGAACGTCGGAAAAGTTTTCAAATTAAGACACCGCATATTGTCCGAGGCTCTCTTTTTTTGCCTTTAGAATATCACAAGTGGGAAACCGAAGTTGAGTCAGTACTTGGTTGAGAGCCTCACCATTCTCAGCGCCGAGATCACCAATGTAAGTCCATTTATGACAAAAAAGTGCCATTTAAAGGAATTCAACTCATCGCTAAGTCAAACAAACCATACCTGTGACCTGATCATTTGACCCACGCATCGAATGGTTGAATGCCTTTGTCATTGAGAAAAGAGTTTGGGTGATTTTTTAACTGCAAATGTTGACCATTTATTGAGGTAAACCTTTTTCTCCTCAACAGGAGGAAATAGGATAGTGCTCGTAAAGAAGGCATGTAAGGAATTATCGAAGTTTTTTTGCCTCATCGGTGTGCAAAAGTAAAGTATCATTCTTTCGACTAAAGCAAATGATATGGTATTTTTAGAACCCAGATGTTGCAGCCTATCTTGGTTATTGGAATACCTTCTAACTTCCTCTCCTTTCCTAGAAGCGTAAAAGGTAATTCATCTATCTAGATCTGGATACTTCTGCTTCGACTTCGCGGCCATTGTCTGTTGGGAGGGGATTGTGTGAGCAATACGGAGCGGGGAAAGTAGATGAAGTGATGCGATATCCTCATCCCTTTCTCCCCGCTTCTTCCTCCTTGAAGTATGAGGGACAATGTGAGATTGAAGAGCCTAGATGAGGTGTGCGTGCTATGCTTAGGGTGGAGAAAGATAACTTTTCTATAAGAGGTCGACTAGGCCGAGATGAAATGGGAAGGTAGCTCACTCCCTCCTTTGCCGGGTCCGTATGAGGCGCATAAGGTGTCATCGGT